ACTGCCAAAAACGTGTCAGTAACAATGCTATTAAAGCAGGGAGAATGGACGAAATCATTACAGTTTTAGTTAGACAGCTAATGAGCTGAAACTCAACAGGAACACTCCAATGAAGTGGTGCTGCAGGTTTGGCTGATAATTCTCTGTAGGATCACATTGTTGGTGTTTCAATCATTACAGAAGCTAAATCACTTCAGTTTATTCTTCTTGTGTGCACTGCAAATACCTGAAAAGTGTCACACCTGATGCACAACAATACTTTAGACTGTTGTAGCAACTTTGAGTTTTCACCTTGGTCAGCCCACTATGAATAACCACACACTGAGGAGTGTCAGGCCTCTGCACTTATTCACTATCCTGTTAGAGCTGGTAGTTGTTGTGTAACATCACGGACATCAGACAGACATCACTGTGGGAGAGTAAGAACATCTGGACCTGAATCTTGAGCTCTGCCAGCTAAGAGTGTGCCACAGGGATTCATTTTTGTTCCTTCCAAGTTTACCATTTATTTACATAATATATACAGATCATACATGATAACAGATAAAGTTTGACCTGTTTTTTGTTGAGAGGGTTTAGCTAGATAAACCCTTGGATTTAATCTTTTGTAACTATAATTAATTTATTTCCAAGAAAAGATTACTGAAGTAGTTAGTTCTGCCGCCACTCTAAAATCTGTGAACAATTCTGCTCTTAGATTCACGGTTGGAGATAATTATGTTATCATTTTCAAAGAAGATGAAGATGTGCTTTATTAATCCTAAAAGGGGAAATTCAATACAATAGGCTCTGTTGGTTTTTCCTGCATGCCGGATGTAATTATTGCTGTTCTTTATTATTGTTTTTAAGGTTCCCTTATCAGAAAATTACCTTCTTATATCTCATCTTTACTACTCTGAAAATGTGGTTCATATTCAACTTTCTGCAATGATTCACTTGTGCTTCAGGAACCAATTAAGATTACTTTACTGGAATTATTTACAAACCCTCCGAAAATTTAAGCACTTACACCCCTCTGTAATTTTAAAATCTGATTTCCATCCAATACCCCCCTGTAACTGCTCAAACTGATCCTTTTTGTTTATCATTTTGTTTTGTTTATGTCTGTTCCTGTTATCCTGCAATATTATATTTAATTTTCAGTATAAGTGTAAACAGGGCGTCGCTGCACCTCTGCCATCCCTGTATAAATAGAGATTCAACAATGTATGTGTGTGGCCGTGCAAAAAGCAAAGAGTGGACATGTGACATGCAGGAAAAGAAAAACAGAAGGGAAACTTCTTCAGAAAGACGATGATGAATGAAATCGGCTATGAGAAGAGAGAGAGGAGAAGCATGACACGATGAATGGGTGAAAAACAGAACTAATAAAAACTGCGGTATGACTGGAACAGGAGATCTGGGCTTAGACAAGAAGGGAAAAATTAATGGGCATGGGCAAAAAAAGGAAAAAAAATTGAATTTTAATAGTAACAGTATGAGGTACTTTCTGCATGGCATGCTGTGGGCACTTTTGGCCACACACTACAGCAAGGGGAAGGTTTTATCTTACACAGAGGTCAGATAAGGATACAACACTGTGTCCTCTTTTGTGTGTACACATCTAGATCATATACAGTACGTGTGTGTAGCTTGAATCCTATATTCATGGGAACCACCAGTTAAGAAGCCCAGTTAGCCTTAATATGGCACATCTTGTGAGCCACTACAGACGGAGAGGGATCAGCTCCTGAATGAAGCCAGTTACATCTCAGCCTGATGCATATGCCTTTCAAATTAAAACCATATGTACAAACTCTGACGCATATGGACTTGATCCAGATAACACAGAAACTGTGAAATCAGATGCAATGGAGAACCTGTTGCGAGGACAGGAGCACTAATTAAAGTAGAATTGAGCCATTTAAAGGGAAATTGCTGCACTTTTCTGCACATGATTATTGTTTAAGCCACTGTGTCTAACCTGAGACAAAAACACCAACAGTATAATCATAATAAGTGCATGAGGATTGTGCATTCATGGACATATATCAGGAGAAATGTCACACATACACACCTGCAGTACCTACAAGCAGAGAAATCATTGACAATAGTAAGTATATATATCAGAGCCAAATCTCGTTAAGCCTGTAATTTCCTGGCCGCACATGCTGTAACAGAGACAGACCACGCAAATACATCTTGACTGAGTTACTCCTATCGGTGCAACTCCTCTCACACATCATTAAATATCACACTAACCTCCACCAGTGGATGTATGGTTTTTGCACTGTTGTATGAATTTTTCTGCATGTGCAAACAGACACTACATATTGCAAAATTCTGACCTCCCAATTATCCCAATAACAGGCCTGTGAGACCAAAATTACCGCCTTACTATGGGGAATGGTTCGGAAAATGTGGTATTTCCCCAAAAGGCTGTTTTTACAGCAGAGAGTGCAGCGCTCCAGAGGTATGTGGAAAACGTTTCTTCCCAGGTGGTTGGCCGTGAATGTGCCATACAGAAGGACATTTCTTGGTGGTTTGTGTGCAGTGTGTTCCATCATAAGCTAATTTATTTCTGATGGATGCAAAAAAAGAATTGAAAGTAAAATACCATTTGAAAATAGTAGCACCAGATATAGAACGAAATGTGAAGTCCATAAAGAGTTATAACGAGTGTAGGATTTACAGAGACTGACTTTACAAGCTGTATAATGGACCAATCAAACTGGCCTACAAAATAGCAACAAGAACGCTCTGGTCCACCTTCAGAACAGAACCCAAAGGCTTCAGCTAGACTCTTCAGTCCCCCCCTATGGTGGAATAAGTTACCAAACTCTCTTCGATCCACAGAGTCCCTTTCTACCTTTAATAAACAATGAAAGACCCAGGTCTTTCATCAACACCTCCCCACTTAATGACATTAATGTCTAATGATGATATTGATGGTGCTGTTGATGTTGATGAGAATATTCATGATGATGATAATTTCAAGAGGCTGTTGTTGATGTGGTTGTAGATGATAAAAAAAAAAAAAAGGATCTGCTTATTGAAATGTCAAACAGCAGGAGAAAGAAAAAGAAAAGACAGAACTCAGATGAAGAAAAAAATAATAATAACAGGAAGTTCAGTCACCAGCACATGACTCTACAACCACACTGACACACAGAAGAGCACATTCAGATATGATTATACCGAAAGGTAGATTGCCTTGTTTAAAAAAACATGTAATACACCCTATAAATAAGAACATCCTTCCCTTATTACACCTGTGACAACTCAAGTCTTACTAACTTTTACAAATTTGAACTAGAATCTTGACACAAATAACTGCTTGTTAATGATGCAGATCTGTTTTTTTTTTTAGGTCCTATCACTTTCTATTATTGTAATATGTTGTTTTAGGTTGTTCCTATTGTACATTTTTAAAGTGATAACACACTTTGTTCACTATGAAATCTTTCACTTTATCTATGTCTTGATGTCATGTTGATTGGAGACTGATTGGAGATATGTTCATTCATCAGTCAAGCAGGTTACCTTGTTAATTTACTGTACATCAATAGAGTGTAACAAGCCACATAAAATGGTGAACCTCCAAACGAACAAATGCTCAACACCTCCACGATAGGATGCTCCCAAGATGGTCAGTTTCATAAAGTAAGAGGTTTTGTGTTGCCCGAGCAAAACAAGCTGCAAGCACTATGAATACTATAGAGTTCAATAGCAGAAATGAACTGAAAAATCAAGACAAATGCAGAATACATTTTGCCAGTAAAAACTACAGTTACATCGTTTAGTTTAGTTTGGATTGTGCATGCAGAATTTACCACTGAATCTTCATGCCGGCTATTTATATTCATGCCAATTATTCAGACAGTAATACTGAGATAAGTTGTAGATAAGTATTTACAATATGTCTAGCATGAATAATGTCTTTTTTTTATATTAGCCTATATTTTATGCACAAACACACAAAATGTGGTTCCTCAGCGTAACATTAATTACTTTTTTTTTTAATGTGGAAATTACAAACATGTCTTCAAATGAAACATAGTCTTAGGGACCAAATGTTTCCTTTAGGCCCTACACACAGACACACCTTCTTTCTCTCCCTGCCTTTCTTTTTATCTCATTCATTATTTGGTTAAGAGCAGCTCTTTTATAGGCTATTTGGGTACATTTAAAACAGTGCAGCTGGATCTGTTCATGGTAAGTAATAATAGGAGTAAATCCACATATTTACAAAGGAAAATGCTGAGTAAACTTTTGAATTAGAGGGCGAAGTCCAAAACATGCTGTAACCTTTACGCTTAACACCCTAGATGTAAGCCTACATGAAACCTTTTATTTCACTTGATTTTTAGATCTGGATTTAAGATAGACTAAAAGCCTACTTTAGACCTACTGTGGCTGTATATCCTCAATTATATAGGCTATCTAATAAACTGGATCAGATATTGCAATATGAAGGCCACCTCCGCAGGATATCTGGGGATTAATTTTGGATGTGACTAACTGTTTGAGTACAGGAGACTTCCTTCAAAGAAACCTCGTACTTTATCCTGCAGGAGTGCGAGAAGTGGTGTGTGAGGGAGGGCAGGCGAAGAGAGCATTCAATGATAGCATGACAGTACCATCTACTGGAGTGACAGAGGCAGAGACGACAGAGGGGGATACCTGCTGCATTCACAAACTAAATAGATGTCAAAAATAGGAAACATTTAGTTTTTTTTGACAAAAAAAAACAACCGTTCGTGCCATCTTTATTCATTCACAAAAGTTGAATTTGTTATAATGTAGGCTATCCTATGTCGTTATTTAGTTTTTTGATCCGTGATTTTGTTGGATAATATGTCAGTTTAACATTTCCTTTGTAAAAAAAAAACAAAAAAAAAAACAAATAAGGTATTGAGAATGTGATTTCTTATTGAGGAAAACGGCCAGGATGAGCTAATGACGGATGCGCGCGCGCACACTCACACACGAGACACAAGGGTGAATCCGCGCATGCGCAATGCAATCTGGCTTCTCGGTGTCTAGGAGATTGCAAGAAGATGATGAGCTGAGTCTGCCGGCACGGACTGAATGCATAATTGGCCAATCTTAATCATAGATTTTTACTCTTGCCTTGTCTAGTTTCTTGCCAAATTGCTGTTTAATGTCGAACTGTGGCGTTAAGCGTCGCGGTGTAGAAACTAAATAGCAGTGACGCCGGGAGAAAAAGCGAAGCAGTTACTGAAAGGAGTTGAGCATCAAATTGCACCGGATGTCATTACACGCTCTTAAATATCGAAGACGTAAGTAACAGCGACGTTTTGTCTATGTTGTGTGTCTGTATTTATTGTACGTGCTTTCCCTGCATTCACATTTAAAACCAGTTAACACCAAGTTTTAGGGGATATTTATGGATATTTAATTTGTCGCGTTAGTGGAAAAGAGGTAATTCCTTTGTCCACGGCATGCCAACTTTCAGTGGGTACACCTCACTTTTCATTACATGTATTTTTAGTTCGGTAGGTAATGTTAACACTCGTTGGCCTCAGAAGCTTACCCACCCACCTGTTAAGCCTGTAGCCACAAACCCGTAGCCTGCAGGGTATTTAATTTAGCCTGCCTTTAAATCCCTGAATTAAAAGTTGTGTAAATTATGTCATTGCACTGAGTTTCCCTTTTTCTGAAAATAAACAACTTTTTGAGAGGTAGTATTATTTAAAAAAAAACACACACACAAAAAAAAGTACTAGCTTTATTCTCTCTAATTTCTGATCAAGGCTTTTGTGTGTGTGTGTGTGTGTGTGTGTGTGTGTGTGTGTGTGTGTATGTGTGTGTGTGTGTGTGTGTGCCATTTCACATGTAGGGAGATAACCATCGGGCAGGCTTGTGGGTCGTTGGGCATTTGTACTTAGGCCTACATCTAAGCTCGTAGATCAATTGAATTTAAGCCTCTTGGGCGAAACCTGCTGACACATGCGCCCCTGTCTTTTTGTGTGCGCACAGACCCGGTTAACCCTCTCGATCTCGTTTCCCTCCGCGGCCCACTGCATCTAATCTAACCATGAGGCGTTTGTGTGCTAGCATGTGAAATCCTGCAAAAGATCGTCCTTCCTGCTGATTTTTTTTTTTTTTAACCACTCGTGGAATATTACTTTAAATACTCTTTCCTGCTAATCAACACTCAGTGGTGGGCAGTTCTCGTCACTGTATACATAGTGATTTATTATTTAAAGGGCATCTGATCAGACGCATAGGATTAATTATAGATCATTATAGAGACACCTTCTCTCGGCTCCCAGATGGATAACACATTCTTGTTATGTAATGCTGCTTAATTACAGTCAGTGAGATGCACATTTCCTTCAATTATTACTTTAAGTCTGTTTTTTTTGTGTGTCATAGCTGTTGTTAGTAAGCTGAAGAAGGTTAGAGATGAATAGAGGTTTTATTACACATATCTTATCGATCTACATCTCTTGAATCTGATATCTTTTTGTCTGTAAGGGAGGGTTACGTTAGGAATGCAGAAAAAAGGATTTAGGCTACCTAATATCCTCCATCTTATTTCTGAAAATGATCTCGAACACTCGTTTTCTGACTAGCAATCATAAGAATCAGTGCAGAGTGTATTAAAATCATGTGGAGGATAATGTTTATGTACAGTTTGAAATGGAAAGTGAAGAGAGGTGCTAATGTGCTCTTTTTGGATGTTTACAGCTACGTCAAACGAGGGGAAAGTCTAATGGAAAAACTTTCCTTGCACTTACAATATATTGAGCTGAATGGCCCTGATAAGCATTGGATTTGACACAGCTAATTGTCTAAAAAGCCCTTGTTTTTCATCTCTCTGGCAAGATCTAAACCCTCAACTTTAAGAGGATGCAAAAAGATTTTGTCTTAGAGTTTGGTCCAGGCTCAATTTTCTTAACAAATGTAGGCTAACCATCAACATATGCAAGCTAACCATGGCAGGGATCAATAGTTTACAAGAGTGCAACATACTTGATACACACAGTGATTATGTAGAGCAGCTCCTCGTGCTACTAGTTACATTAAAAGGATACGCATGGCCTGTAATTTTCTGTTGGGTGGGTCTGACTGACTTGCATTCTCTTGCCCTCTCTCTCTCTCTCTCTCTCTCTCTCTCTGTCTCTTTCTCCTTCCCTCTCCCTCGCACAGTGTAATCAAGACCAGAGCCATGGAGGTTGTAACACATTTTGTGAATGACACTGTAGAATTTTACAAATGGAGCCTTTCTATAGCAGGTAAGATCTTTACCGTCACTTGTTTCTGTGTAACAGTTTGCTACTTCAGATGCAGGAATACTGAATGTCCATTGTACGTCTTGTCACCCAAATGATCAGGTATATCTTGTGTGTTATATTTGTTGTCATTTCAGAAATTCTACCAAAAGTCAGCTTGCGTTGTCTAGAATTTGATGATTTGTTACATTTGAAAATTCAGGGAGAGCATAACTACAAAACAAACTGTACCAAGTCAGAGTTGAACATGAAAGCAGCCACACGTAGTTTCTTGCAGTAACTTTTGAATGCAGGCTGCAGCTGCAAATGAATTGTTAAGACAAAATAATTAAGCTGAGGGCCTTATAAGAAACTTAATGAAGTGGTGACTTCATTAAGTTTCTGGTGACTTCCTGTGCGATGCACCCCTGCCTTCACAATAAGGCTATTAAGTAAATTGTTACCATTACTCATAACAATTAAATCAACTGAAACAAAAGGGCAAAAACTGCAAAAAAACTCTTGACTTGTGTCAACTGGTTGTAAAGGTTGTAAGGGAGGGTCTGTGGATGATATTTACAGTAAACGTAAAGGACAATACCATATTTATCCATGTGTGGTAACGAGTATTGAACTGTGGTTCTGTTGTATCACCTCAAACTTTTCACCAATGAAACAAACCCTTTTTTCTTCAGACAAGAGGGTACAGAACTGGCCGTTTATGTCATCTCCCCTCCCAACTCTGGCCATCAGCTGTCTGTACCTGCTCTTCCTGTGGGCGGGGCCTAGATACATGCAGGACCGCCAGCCCTATACACTCAGGAAGACCCTTATAGTGTATAACTTCAGCATGGTGGTGCTCAATTTCTACATCGCCAAAGAGGTGGGGAAACAGTTTAGGTTGCATTATTTATTTCATGTATTTACAACATAACTTGTACTTCTTTAAAAGGGGATTACGAGGCAATTATACAATGGATCCTCAAAACATCTTTCAATACCAGTGTTTACTGTGTTCAAAAGGGAATATCTGGAGGCTTTTTGATAAAAAAACAAACACCCCCTAGAAAATGTGTTTCAGCTCACATCAATGTAACATGTAGACTATAGAAACCCTTTTTGAGGGAAGCTGTTCTTACTCCACTGTCCCCATTCATTAGACATAATATCTCCTTATACAAAATCAGTACTTAACCCTGTCAAATTGCTGTCTCTTGGTCAGTCACGTTACAATCATGCAAGTTTGACTTTAAAAATAAAATCTTATCTGGACTACACATTATTTCTACTAAGTATCTACCAAGTGGTTGTGTGCATTCAATAATCTTTTATTACAGCCAATTACAAAGGAGTACTTTGTGTTTTGTAATACATTCAACCATTGAAAAACTGCAATATGCAAAGCAGAGGATGGTATTTACTTTAGCAATGACCAGTGCCTGATATGTCGTTCAATTCTTTTTCAAATCTGCTGGTTTTGTAGAAAATCTGTTAATGTTTGCTTGCTCAGTTCAAGAGAAAAAAAAGTGGGATAACTGGTGTTCAGATAATACTTTGGTCATTGCTTCCACCAAATCAGAGTTATAAAATGTCAGCCATTTTTCTTTCAACCTCCCCTTGACTTTATGTTTTCTTTCTTTCCATCAGCTCCTACTAGGCTCTAGAGCAGCCGGGTACAGCTACCTCTGTCAGCCTGTCAACTACTCCAAAGATGTTAATGAAGTCAGGGTAAGCTACAAAAAACAAAACACACATCCACAAAAACATCCCAATACCAATACATAGATTCACACCACTCTGTGAGCGAGGTACTGAACTGGTTGAAGTATACGGATGGTGTAATCCGGCTGTTGACGTTAAGGAGATCACTGCATCTATATATCAGTGCCTTTAGTTAAGTCAGGGGTTAAAGGAGAAAATAAACACTGTGATAAAGGTTAATTTATCTAGTGGGTTCAGGACAAAGAGGGCGCGGCCTGCACTCAGATAGGTCGGAGTAATTGATCTCACCACTGTAAGACTCCACCCACAGCTCCACCTTCAGGCCTTCCATACTGGCATGATGCCACACTTGCCATGGCTTAAAGAGCAGCCATGTGGGTACGCTGTGCTTGTTTCTCAGGCTGAGGGGAGTGAAGAAAAGGGAGGGATTTCTTACATCTACAGCATATTTGATTTTCAAATCTCTGAACTTGTCTATCTTGTTTATTAAAATGTTATTATTAAACTCAAAAGTGTCAACCTTTCCCATCTAATAAGATCATAAACGATCCGTTGACAACTAATCAGAACTGAAATATTCATTGAAATATTAATTTCAAGCAGCTATTTATTATTAACAGCTGTGGGGCACCAGTAGACCAATGGTTATTGCGAGCACCGGGTTAAGGCTGAAGTCTTTGAAAGTGGGCGGGGCGGCCCTGGTTCAAATCCGACCAGTGGCCCTTCCCGCATGTCATTCCCCACTCTCTCTCTCTCTCCCTGTTTTCTGACTATCCACTGTCCTGTCTCTGAAGAAAGGTATAAAAGCCCCCAAAAAATATTTAAAAACAAAATAAACCATCACTGTGAGTTGGGCCAATATTATGTATGTTGTACAAATATTCCTTATATGAGATACTAAAGTCCTTGCTTCATACAGCCCATATTACAATATCATATCAATCAAGCTTGATGCTTTACATTTCCATGTTTTTCATGTGCTTGCCTAAAACTTTATTCTTTTCACCATTACTTTGTTTAAAAAGATAACGATAAAAACTACTCTCTGCTGTTTTTTATAATATTGAAAAAGGTGTCTTGCATGCAGTAATGAAGAAGCTGATTAATTGAATATGTTCATTTTGCTCTGCCCTCATGGAAGACAGAAAGTGGAAGTGGCTAATCTTAGCCGTTTATCTTTCTAGTATCCAAAAAGTTGAAAACAGCTTAATAACTATTTATCAGTTTTCCAATTATTCTAAAAATTCTTAAATTTAAACAAGGAGACATGGCCTTCATGTGAAATTGGTGAATGGACCTGTAGCTTCACTGATTTGTAGAAGTGTATGCTGTAATGTCTGTTAAGTGTAATCACAGCAAGCAGCTACCTCCAGTGTTGAGCCAATTATGTCCAAAACAGTACAGTTCTTCCAGTAACCACTTGAGGCCGGCTGCAAAAGCTGAGAAAGTCCCATTTACACTCGTAATAAAATGCCTATTTTTACAGCAGATTAAAGATACAGATACAGATTTAAAAAACTGGTATGGTCTGAATAACTGATTTCTTTATCCTAGACACTGCATTGCATGATGGATGAAATGTTTTTATAATTCTTGCTCATCTGTTATCTGTTACTCGTTATTTTAAGGCTAAGAGTTATTCATAAGTTTGCATGATTATGGGCGTGGCTGATTTGACTGACAGGTGGGCATGTTGTAGCTGTTTGCCAGGAGGATTCATGCCCGAAGGTAACATTTCAAACATGGTGGCTGCCTTAGTTTGACTTCAAATGGCTGCTTCAGAAACCACTCAGACTACGTTCATGTTTTATGCAGTCTATGATTTGTGTCATCTTTTTAAGATGTTATGGCATACAGTCGCGTTAGAGCTGCAGTTACTCACCCCAACCTGTTTCTTGTCTTCAGATAGCATCTGCTCTCTGGTGGTACTACATCTCCAAAGGAGTGGAGTTTCTGGACACAGTCTTCTTCATCCTGAGGAAAAAGTTCAACCAGGTCAGCTTCCTTCACGTCTACCATCACTGCACCATGTTCATCCTCTGGTGGATCGGCATCAAATGGGTGCCTGGTGGACAATGTGAGTAGAAACAGAAATTGACATTCTACAATATCAAGACGTTAAATTCATCAAGTATCTTACATTTGACTCATGAAGCTATGGCATCCAATTACAGACATGCCTTTTTCCAAATAACATAGCCACTATCACATCTGATCCAAATGTAACCCTCCACAGCATTCTTTGGTGCAACCATCAACTCCTCCATCCACGTCCTCATGTACGGTTACTATGGTCTGGCAGCTTTGGGACCTCAGATGCAGAAGTACCTCTGGTGGAAGAAATACCTCACCATTATTCAAATGGTAGGTTTAACTTTGACTATACTTGTGTTTGTTGTAAAAATATACAGACATGGGGCGCGCTGGTAGCGAAATGGTTAGGGCGCGCGTCCCATATATTGAGACTCTCATCTCGAGCGGTAGGCCCAGGTTCGCTTCCACCCATGGCCCCTTTCCGCATGTCATTCCCCGCTCTCTCTCCCCGGTTTCCGACTCTATCCACTGTCCTCTCTCTGCATTAAAGGCACGAAAAGCCCAAAATAAATCTTTAAAAAAATAAATAAATTGATGCAGACATGTAATGGTTATAATTCTTAAATCTAAAATTGGGGAAATGTACTTCTTAAAGCTCCTGTTAGGAACTTTGGGTTTATTTTGATTTGTGAGCCTCCTGTGAACAAAGCAATACATTTAATCTTTGAGTGGATTTTGTCCTAAACCCTATGCAAGTCATGTTTTCTGATGAAAATATCCTGCTAAATTTTAACAGTCATATATATCACTCATTGAGAATATTTGCTAGTAGAAAAAATGTCAGCAAAGTCTGTTTTTGTAGCCTGCTGTTAATCACGTCATCTGAAAGCATTTTGCTGCAGCAGTTTTAGCCATCAAAAATAACTATATAGAAATAATTCATCTTTATGCTGATGGTTTTCTTATGAAGCTCATAAAAGACACCCATAGTTATTTTAGTCTGATTCATAAGCAGCTAAAAGCTACACACAGGAGCTTTAAAAAGACAAAAATGTTCTATAAATTCACAAGTTTGATGCAAAATACACCAATCATTTATTTTGAGGAACTAGATATTTGTGAACATTTTGAGTTTGTCTGTCTACTTAATTTCTTCATAGTATTTTATTAAGAATGTGTTTGAAATGATACACTAATGCAAGGCCAAAGTGAACTGATTCAAATTACACATGGTCACCGGACCAATTTCTGGTTTCATGTTGTACCTTCTGCTCAGTATGTCACATTTTTACTGGATGTTTTGGCTTGGTTTTGTGTATATTTTATCATGTTTGTAAAAAATTTGCAATCAACAGATCCAGTTCCACGTGACCATTGGCCATGCAGGCTACTCACTCTACACAGGATGTCCGTTCCCTAACTGGATGCAGTGGGCTCTGATTGGCTATGCGGTCACCTTTATCATCCTTTTCGCCAACTTCTACTACCATGCTTACCGGCGCAAACCCTCCTCCTCGCATAAAGGAGGCAAGCCTGTTGCCAACGGCAACTCAGTGGTAACAAACGGTCATAGCAAAGTGGAAGAGGTAGAGGACAACGGGAAGAGGCAAAAGAAAGGAAGAGCAAAGAGGGAGTAAAAGGAGAAAGAAGGTATGCTTGGACGTTTGTTTAATGGGTCAAAGAACGAGGGAGGGGTGGGGAGGGATAAACAGAGAAGTTCAAACCAGACAAGCTTCATCGTCCCTGCCAGTAATGTAGAAGGAAGATGCAATTTGTGACCAACTTTGAAAGGGGGAAAGGGTAGCAGTGTGTGTTTGTGGCTGTGTCTGTCAGGGTTTTTGAGAGGAAGAGAAGGGTGTTGGTTGTTTCCATAACAGGTTTTTTTTATTATCAAGAAAAGCAGAATGCTGTTCATGTAGGAGCAGCGCTCTCCTGTCCAAATCTGTTTGGGACCATCAAAGGACCAAAATATTAAAAGGAACTACAAACTGCTCAGCATCTATTAACTTGTCAACCAAAATTCCTCTCCAACTTTTGTATTCTGGATACCACTATTGTTTTAACTGAAAGATTAAATAGTCTTTAATATGCTTATTTATATTCTAGTTCTCTAAGAGAGTTTTATTTTAACTATTACCAACAGAAAGAACATGCAGAAATTTATACCAAAGGTGTTTTTTGTCTTGGATCACGGGAGACATTTTGTTTACGAATTTAGAAAGACAACTCATGATGTTGTCATGACTGCCATCAATTGTATTCAAATAGTTATGACTCTGCGACAACAACCAACCCCTGCTGTTTCAAACTGTTATAACTGCTGCATTCTCAGAGAAACAAGCTACTTTTATTTGTATTCAATGTGAATTAAAACCTGGAGGGAGGGGGGCTGTAGTTCCTTTTAGAATGTATTCAAATGTGTGGGTATCTTTCTTATTATGTGTCTCTGTGGGTCCTCATGATTTATTTCATTTTTTGCTGTGCGATGTAGCTGAGGTACAAGAATAAGAGATTGAAGTTCAGCTCAGTGTTGTCTCACTGCCATGTAGGACTGAAGGGAATGTCTTCCTGAAAAGCTTTTTTAAAAAACAATTGTTGAATTCATTGTCTTATTAAAAAAGGAAAGTGTCCCAGCTTTTGGCTGCACATATAACTGAAATAAAGACAATGTCAGCCCCCCCACAGTTCACGTCTGTGTGTCTTTGTTAGTTCTTGTGTAAAGGAGTTGTAGGTTAACTACTCTACTGTTAAGCAATGTCGTACCTAAGATATAGGATCAAGATGTGCCCCATAAGGAACCTAATCTTTAGGGAATAGCCCTCCCATCCCCCATCTCCTCTGCCTCCTCATCCCTTCCTTCCTTCATCTCTCCCTCTTCCATGTTGGGATCTGCGGGATGGAGATAGCTCTTAAAGGTGTGTGAGTGAGGCTGAGGTAGGTTGTGTCTTTGGCCTGTCCAGACAGATCTGTCCTAATCTTTGGGGGTAAATTGGCTTTAACTCCAAAAGAGCTTATTTCCACGTCACTCCGTGAATTACCCAAGAAAGCAGGTCACGGGAAGAGAAGCCTCCACTAATCTGCCATCAGGGCGCTACAGTAACTTTCAAACTGTATGGATTAGTTAACATTAGGCTGTGATAATGTGTTTTTTTTTTTTGTCTAATTCTTTTATTAGAAAAAACGTAGAACAAAACACCTGTCACTTCTGGCACAAAAACATCTACAATTATGAGATTCTTGTTTTTGGAAGAAACTTTCAAATTGTATGTTTTTTAAATCCTAGTTCATTATAGGCTGTTTCCACTCTCTTTATCCATGTTTTTTGTCCTGACTTGCCATCCATTTTCCATTAGCTAGAGACAAACAATCCAATAAAAGACATTGTGGACTCACTAATGGCATCTTTAAATGATTCATTAACAATCATTTTCCTGTTGTCCAAAGATCTCAGATATCACCCTTTCTGTTTCTCCTAATACTGGTCCACACAGGGCTTTTCCATGCTTAGCAACTTTTCCACATCTTTACTTTACGTGTACAGAGTCTTCCATCTTATCCTGACGCTCCACCACCTGTCTCTTTGCACTCATGGCAGGAGGGCAGAGGTAGAGGAAGGTCTAAGGGTTCAAATGTGAATGATGGACTGGATGGGATGAGATGAAGTATGTCCTCCACGGGGACAGGGATCTAAGCCAGGGACTAAGAGGATTGCAGAAGGGCCAAGGCTTTTCCATCAAAGGCATTTAACACAGGTCACTATAGCCTGCATCCCTGCTGCTACAGGAACTAGTTACACTTAGTCCACCTGTCTGCTAACATTGCTGTTGGCTGACTGCAAGCATTCTAAAGTACGATAACACATCCAAAAGCAGAAGAATTTTTTAAGTCTACAAAACGAAGAGTTTTCCAAAACATTTGACTCTGTCCCTGTCTTTGATTGTGTGGCACATATATATTATCTTAGGTGACTGACCCACCCTTGATTCTGAGGCGGCAGTCTGTTGCAGGGTAAAGGTGTGTTTTTAATGGGTTAAACCTCTACAAACCCAACCCAGCATTCACTCATCTCATCATTAACAATTATTTGACTAAGGAGCTCATTCAGCCTAACATAGTGCAAATAGTCAGCGTTTTAGGGGCTCAAGTCAGCTTGAGTGACAGATTGGGCATAGGCTTTATGAGTGAGGAGCGCCCTCTGCTGGATCTGACGTCCCTGACATGTCACTTGTGGGTCGAAAAATATACAGATATGAGATGAGATGGGAAGCCAAACGGAGTGTGATTCCTGGCATATAGGTAGACTACATGAAAAAAACAAGGAATCATCATGCAAGACAAAAACAGGAATTACAAAATGGCAAAAAAAAAAATGTCTGCAATTCACTTTGGCCTAGTGCCACTACATTTGTGTGGTTCCAACTGTATGCATCACTGAATAAATTATAGGCTACAGAATAAATTGAAAAGGTGATTGCCTCAAGGTTAAACAACCTGCAATATAACATTAAAACATCAAAGCGTCAAAAGTAACACGGTAAAGAGTCCGGGGTGGTCACGCTGATCAAGTGACGGTCACGGAGGTCCTTGGTGTAGAAATGAAACATTTGCAAACACTGTGCCATACAATTCTCATGCAACACCATTGTGTTTCTTATCAAACTGTCCTCTGACAGCTGACACATCTCTTATAACCTTAACCCCCCCCCCCAGCTTGTGTTTATTTTGTATGTGTTTGTTTAAAAAATAAAGTGCCGGCTGCAATTTCGCCGTAGGGGCTTTCTAGGTGCTTATTCCAGTCATGCCTTCAACTCTGAGTAAACAATTTGATATTTTTATGCTATTTTTTTAAATAAATAATATCCTATTTAAATGTAAATCCTACTAAATTATTAAAATATAGGCTAGACTACTTATTCGTATAGGCCTACCTGTGTGTTCACTGTGAGCCTTACAACCTCCGCTGACAACACCGGCGTTTGTGCTAATTTAACATTTTTGGAGTGAAAGAAGATTATTGTGGTAGTTGGACGTCCACTTCCTGGTTTGACGTACAATTCATACGTCATATGGTCAGTGCCCCTGCAGTGCCTGGTGGTGCCCTGTGTCAGCGAGTCTTCACGCTGCTCTGCGGTAGGAATTCAACCATTAAGTGACAGTGCACTTCGTCTGGCTTTTTAAATATTTTTTTCTCGGTCCCATAGAAAGCTGTGGCCCATCTTTAAAAAAAAGTCGTGGACACATGAAAGTCGGCCTTGGACTCTTTAGTAAAGTTTGACTGAGGGTCAGGAGGAGGAGGAGGAGGAGGATGTGGCAGCTGGACGAAAGCGGCATCTAGTGGCTTTTAAACGGAAGGCATCACTTTTAGTTTTTTGAATGTTAGAATATATCCAGTTAACACCGAGGTAGGACATATTTAATTACATTATTGACTCCCTAAAACCATAATTCGCTTTAACGCATCATAAAAAGTACAAATAATAGCCTGTGTTTGAAGTTTATTTTGGTGGAGCAAACAATGAAGCCTGCCACTAGCGTCGCTGCAGATCCTCCATCATCTTCCGCCTCATTCAATAGCGCAGCGAGGAGGAAGAGGAGACACCAGCGGGCTCCCTCACCAGCTACAGCCCAGGAACAGGCTACGAAGCGAGCTCAGAGACTCTCGGGCCGGTCTGCGTCTCCTCTTTCCGCGGGACGGAGCAGTAACACCGGTGTGAAGGAGACTCTGAGGTCCGCTGACGGAAGGGAGAGGGAGCCCGAGAGCTACGGCGGGGCAGCTGTTCATCCGGATGGTGCTGAAGCTGGTGTAGTAGGAGCAAACAGGGCGGATGCTGTCGAGGGGGATCCGATAAATTCATCCGTACCGGCCCGTCGCTCCACTCTTCACCTACCCTGCTTTAAAGCCGACTCCTCCCTGCGTTTTGTATCGGACAGATCCTCCTCTTCTTCCCCCCCAGCGGAGGAGAGCCGTAGAAGAGCCGGAGAGGAGAACAAGAGAGGCGGCGTATCGGTGGGCTGTGGCCCGGGCCTCGGTTTGGGTTTATGGAGAGGAGGATGCTTGCAGGCTGAATTGATCCAGTTTCATCTGCAAAGGAGACTGAGAAGACGTGGTCCGAAGATGCAAACCAAGACGGAAAACATAGGGGCCGAGGAGATGGCTGTGGGAGCGCCGGAGCCGGCTGCAGAGGCGGGGTCCGTGACACAGCAGGACCAGGACCAGGCCTTCGAAGACGAGATGGAGAGACTGCTCGATGAAAATGAAGATCTTAAGGTTTTGATACGTCTTTGTGTTTTTTATTTAAGATGGTGCTATGTCATTAGTTGGTTTGAATATAGTAGATTATAATAAAAAAAACAACAACACACAATGCTGCCACTTCAGGATTAAAGGCCTCCTGCAAAATAGCCAACATTTGTTAATGAGGATTGCAGAAAATGTTTGTGGGCCATTTAAAGCCAGGTGCCAGAATTATTAGGAATAAATGTAGAGTTTTCGGTCTTCTTACTGATCAGAGGATATTCAAATATTAATTGATTAGCTGATAATAAATATTAACCCCCCCCATAAAAAATATATATATATATATATATATATATATAAGCTATAGGACTTACTATGCACATACTGGCCACATATGACTAACTCTTTATTGATAACATTGGTATTGATCTGCTCGGATCAATGATATTGTTATATAATGAGGGACAACTAAGAGAGCAGGGATTGTTCGTGACATGTAAGCAGTTGCAGGAAATGTCTCCAACAAAAATGATCCACTGATCGAGTTAAGTTTGCATTCAGTCACAGCTATGCAATATGTTTTACAGCCTATGAATGCGTGTATTGGTGGGAAGCTTGGTTCATGTCCATACATCTATTACTCCATCTGAGGAATCAAAAGCATCTTCTGTAAACCATTAAAAACTGAAGATGTCCCCCAGGGGTCTTAACCAATTCATAATGGTGACATACAATATTCACTGTGCATCTATAGTGTGAAATAGAGGAAATGAGAACTGAGATGGACGAGATGCGAGACACGTTCTACGAGGAAGACACTTGTCAGCTGCAAGAGATGAGGCGTGAGCTGGAGAGGGCTAATAAGAACTGCCGGATCCTGCAGTACCGACTGAGAAAGGCAGAGAGAAAAAGGCTCCGCTATGCCCAGACAGGAGAGATCGATGAAGAGCTGCTCAGGAGCCTAGAACAGGACCTGAAGGTACAGGGGGGGAAAGGGAACAACTTGACTGCCTGGATGTGTATTCCCCCGATTTTTGGTCATTGTATTTTCTCTTAAAGAATATAGTGTTTGCCTTGGTTTTAGGTCCTTTGCATTTTATAAGGAGTAGTTTGGTTTCAAATGCGCAACAATGATAAAAAAACAAAACTATCATAATATTACAAGTTCATATAAAACAATAAAAACCCTCAAGTTGGAGGGATAACATTTATAAAGTAAAAAAGTTTTTTGTTCATAAATCACACTAAATAACTACAGGTAGCGAAGGACGTGTCTGTGAGACTGCACCATGAGCTTGAAAAGGTGGAGGAGAAACGCACGAAGACAGAGGAGGAAAATGAAAAACTGAGACAGAAACTCATAGAGGTGGAGGTTACCAAACAAGCCTTGCAGAATGAACTAGATAAAACCAAAGAGGTAAGTTACTGACATCTTTATACAACACA